ACAGATGTGGGGAAATTTTCTTTTACAAATCGAACGATAAAAGAATGGAATACATTGCCTGCAAAAACATTTGAACCCTTTCCTCGTAGTATACAACAGTTTAGGAAATTAATTTAGGGTATTACGAAATAAATGAGGGAATTAGCTGACAATAGTAGGTTATAGAGTGACGCGTCAGTAATGTATTGTAAAGTGAGGTGTCGTGCATTGTAGAACAGAGAAATCATATAGGAAGTGATTAAAGGGTCATAGAGAAGTGCAGTTGAACAAAAATTCAGTGCGGAGTTTGATATTTTAAGGTAATTTTAAATGTTTTATGAATTAGACAGTTTTATATTATTATTATTATTATTATTATTATTATTATTATTATATATTTTACATGTTAGCTGTATTATCTTATTTATGTAATTAGCTGACACCGGGTTATGCCCATTTGCAATTCAAATAAATTTAATAAACAATCAGCGCTTCATACAATAATCTAAAGAGCCATATTAAGTACAGAATTTTCATTACCATGTACACAAGTATGCACACAGTGCTAGCGTTCATGACACCTTTTAACGTAGGTGTAGGAACAAGCCTTTCCTCTTTACTTTTCAACTCCCTGTCAACAGATGGCAGCGTTCGCGCCCAGGCAGTCGTTGTGAGTCGCCAGTCGGCCGCCAGATGCCTCTGCGCGCGAGGGGGAGTTCCCTCCGCGAACGCAACACGCAGTGGCAAACGTCAAGCGGCCTGGACTCACGCGGCAGTTGTGTTCGACCGCAGTTGTCTCGCGGTCTCCTGCGCGCCTGGTGCTCTCGCCCTCCTGGGCCTCCCGCCGCGACATGTGCCATCGAGTGACACGCGCCTGAACGCACACGCCCCTTGTTACTTTAGTTGTTGAGTGTTGAGTTATTTTATTCCCAGTACTTCTTCCACTTCGTGTTTTGACGTCAGTATTGTTATGACGCGTGCTTCGACATTGTAAAATACCAAGCAGAAGAGATTGGAGGTTCAACAGCCGAGGGATATTCCCGGTTTCTTTGTATGAGAAGATCGTGAGCGCTCACGTAAGTACTTGTATTGCTTGTGTCTTGTGCACGTTGACACGCGCCCCGCGCTGACAGCCGCCGTGACTTCACTTTCACTGGCGCTGGCGAGCGGGCGGACGGGCGGGCGGACGAGCGCGGTCAGGACGCGGAAGGAAGTCTGGGCCCAGCGCCGGACGGGTGGCGAACGCGCGGGCGGACACCTCGGGTACGAAGGGGCGGACGGGGATTTCCATGCACCAAAACATCATTCGCCCCTCATTGAGTAGGTCTCGGGGAGACGGTAACATTGTCGCCCGGTTGCTACTGGAACTAAATAATTGTTTGGCCAACAAAAACGATTGATTGATTCTCTCGTCTGGTTTAGGATATTTTCCGTCTCTCGTTCTTTTTTTGCAAATATTACAACTGTTTGTAAATGAATGCTGATAAGCTAGTTATCAACTAATGAACGGATAGAGCAGTTCTAATATTTCGCCAGATGGATGGGTGTGTAAATATTGAAACAGAGAGTGGTGATGATAAACGGGTACACGATGTAACGGATGGCCTACATGAGAAAACAACTGATTACCCATGCAAATAGGAAAATACCAGAAAAATATATTCCATTATTGGCCCCAAAGAAAAATTTGTTATTAACGCCTGGTGAGCCTGGTGTCTGATGAGACAAGAGTGTCAACAGACAGCCCAGTCCGCCCCGCGAACTCCCGAACGGCGCGTGTCACGCGCCGTTTCCGGGCGCCGAATATGAGAAAGTATGCGAGGGGCGCGATCATCACGAGGCGTGCGCCGTCGGCCCGTCCGTGCGCCGGTGCGGCGAGGTTATCGACTGCAGGCAGCGGCGGGGCGGCGGGCTGGCGGTGCGGCGGCGCGGCGCAGCCCAGCCCGGGATTTCGCCTGCGTTAGCCGCCCCGCGCCACCGCCCCGTCCTTCGCCCGGCCCTCCTGCCGCCCTCTGGCAATCTCTGCCGCGTGCTGGTGCTCTCTGGCTCGCCCTCTGTCGGCAGCCAATTGCCCACGGCCTGTCTCGTCGTTCTTCGTCGACGTCGACGTTGAAGTCCTGTCACCGTCGTTTTCTGCCGATTTTCACCGCACATTCCTTCAGACTCCCTACAATATTTGTAGCATTTTGAATATTCGTTGTACGTACATCAGCAGCTCTTTTAATGTTTTGATGAACTGATTCAACAGCTAATTTAGTTGATGAGGCAAAATTGAGGTAAATACCAAGATCGTTACAATACTTTGGAGGAATATCAGGTCCATATTGTGTGTGCTATAATTTGATGGTCCGGGGAGTATTGGAATGAAAGCTATGAATGAAAGAACAAAAAAATCTAAATGTACAAAAGTCAGAAAACTACATTATTTGAACGAATTTTCAAGTCAAAAATGACGATTTAAATATTTATGCTCAATATCTAATAATAATTTTCCGACATCTGTACCAAAATTATTCCCAAAATTCACCCCATTTAATAGATTTAAATCACCAGCGCTAACAGTAATTGAAATGTTATCGTGCAGTTTAAATACCAACTTGATCAGGAACATAACCCAATACTTAAAAAAACCTTTGCAAAGAATTCGTTTAGAGAGCCAAGACAAATTACATTGAAAACAACAATATCACTTTATTTTGAGTATCTTCCAAACATTTGGACGATCAAACTTTCGATAAGTTTTTATTTCCGTGTGTTGGAACATCAGATTTGTTTCTGTAACTTTCAGCACATCTACCAATATTCCACAATCTCTACCATCACATATTGAATGCTTCAGTATTCGTCACCTTCAGCAGTCTTAACAATACCATTCCTGAATGTAGTCATTATTTTCCTTTTCCGTCGATTAAAAAGAAAATGTTTTGTTGGAGAATGTTCTAACATAGTGTTAACTTATGACCTTAGTGAACTAGTTAAAAAAATGTTGGAAAAAATGCCCTCTATGAACAGTCTTATATTTAAGATTTCGTTTCTCTTCCAAACGAAGAAAACCCGGCCACACTGTCTCAGTTTCATCCAGGACTTTTTTCTTATTAGTCAACATGATAGCATAGTAGACACTTTAACAAGTAATACAATGATTAATTATTGTCCATTAACAAGAAAGACATACTTATTTGTCTATTCTGATACAGTTTTTTAACTAGATGGAAAAATGATGGTGAGCATTTGGAAAGCACAATGTGCCCAGTTGCACAGTTCCTCATCCACAAGTCAGCACAGTTTCTTTTTTTGGGGGGTGGTCCAATTATTTTAAATATTTAAAGAACCAACTTCGTTTCCTCTGCCCAGAAGTTCCCTTGTACTTTTTTCTATTCTCCCCTTCAAAAAAAGTTTCGTTCATTTAACTGTGTAAAGCGAGACGCGCGGCGTGGCAGCTACTGACTGGTGCAAGGCCCCCTGCACAGCTGTAACCGCCGCATCCGCGTCTGGCCCTCCCCCCGCCGCCGCCGCAGCAGCAGCCCACAACGCCGCCGCCCCTTACCATTATACTTGCCGCACCATCACCATCACCGCTACCGCCATCACCACCACCGCGAGCCGCATCCACCACCACCACCACCATCGCCGCGCCACCACCACCAACACCCCCCCCCAAACCCAAAACCCAAACCCCCCCAACCCCCCCAAACCCACCCACCCCACCCCCCCCCCAACCCCCAAAACCCACCCCAAACCCCCCCCCCACCACCGCCGCCCCCCGCCGCAGTCAACCGACACCGCCACCGCCATTGCCGCCGCGCCGTTCACGTCACCACCATCGCCACCGCCCACCAACCACCACCGCCACCACCGCCACACCACACACCGCCACCACCACAACCACCATCGCCGCCACCGCCGCACTGCCCCAACCACCTCCACCATCACCGTCGTCACCGCCCACCGCATCGTCCCGCCGCCGCGCCGCCACCTCGCCACCGCGTCGCGTCGCGTCCCGCGTTGAGTCTCCCGCTGTTCCCGGAGCGCGGCAGCCGCCGGTTAATTTTGAGTGTTCGCTTTAAAAAGGAAGAAACGCGCGACCGGAGCAGGCCGCGGCCGCGGGCGGCGCGCCGTTAATGGTGACGCTGACTAGCTGGCTGCCCCCGGGCGCGAATTTCTCAGGAGCCCGCGCATGAGAAACGACGAGTCATGGCCGCGAGTTCAGCGGCGCGTCGGCGAGAACTGGAGCTCGAGCGCTGGATTCAACGAGTGCGCCCGCTTAATGAGCTGTTGCGCGAGTCTAGCGGTCTTCGCAGCGCCCACTCGCGTGGGAAGCCACAGTAGCAGACGCCAAATGCAGAATTTTAATGTAGAAGAACGTAATACTCCTTCCAAAAAACTATTTTAAAATCGCTGTCTGGATTTGTTGTGAAAAATCGAGTGGGTGTCGTTACCCGTGTATAATTAGGCATTCAGGTTTGACTGAAAAATGGAAATGATTGTTAATTTTATTGTTACTTTTAATTTTATTACATAACACGAAGTTACTTAGTTAATACTTCCGTATATATTCGTATATTTCCGCATGGAAGTCTTAGCTGTCTTATTTCTTTTTCTGAACCACCCCATTCGCGCAAAAATGTACTGTCAGATATTTACGTATCCACTGTTTTTTATTAAATGCTGCGTCTAGCCATTCTTCAAACATGTGTATTTGGAAACGATTAGTAATTCTATTAATGTATTACGTATTTGAAGAATTATTGTTAAACCATTGTTCAATGATCTTAATGTGCGCAAACCAGTGCTTTCCATTACTTTTACAGTTCACCACTTAACGTAAATAATTTTAAGAACCGTTTTCTACTACTTTAGTGCCATTTCTATTTTCTATTACCTCTAGTTAAGAGTTTGTTCTGTATACCTAGGCTTATATTGTACAAATCTTGAAATAGCGATTATACATTGCCGCTCAATTTTTTTCCGGCAACAAGGAAAAGTAGCGCATTCTCATTATGAAAATAGAAACGAGCTTCATCTTAAAAATATATTATTTTCACGATATAACGAACGTGAGTGCCACAATTTATATTTTCGATAGGACGTGTCACTTTGTACCCTGTCTAAGTTTTATAGGAATTGATGAGCAAACAAGCATCGATTTTAACCTTCATATTTTCTTAACTCTTTCTTGTGAACAAATACACTACATTTCTAAAAATCCCAAGAAATGTTTCAAATAAATAAGATTTAATTTCAGCGCTTCAAGATAATTGCATTGCTTTAGATTATAATCTGCGTCACACTGCACGTGCAGTACATCTTCAACGAGGAACATTCTGCGAATCGCTGACAAATCACCTCAGTGAATTTTTCTTTAAATGCGCTTTACACTAATGACTTCTAATTCTCGACATGCACTTTGTCTTCGTACAGAAAATCGCAGGGAGAAGCAAATTCGCCCTACCATGAAATGATTATAGACTCAAAGATTAGTTCCTTCTACTGAGAAATTTTTTGACTCAGAGATAGTCGGAAAAAAAGAATTTCAAATTATCGTACTTGTCACTGCTTTTGAAATGTATCATGTTTTTAATGCGACATTATTATATAATTTGACATGGTGACGAAGCTTCATTCTAAGGAAAAGTGAACACGTTTTCACCTTCATGAAGAGAAAGATATCATTTGTAGCAAATTGCTAGACTTCAATCGACTCCAGTAAGTTTCCCGACGATATTAGTCAGTAAATTGTAACAGAAAGTCAGCATTTCTTATATTAGAAATTTGGTGAAAACAATTTCCGAAACGAATACATTGATGTTATCTCTTTGCCTCAAGTGCAGGCTAATTGTTGTTAGAAAGCTTACCGCTACTGCAAGATGTGTACTCCAAACCGTTGTTCATCGCAGAAGATTTATCTTTTGTGAAAACTATACAGACCCAATCTGTAGTACAGTTCGATCTGTACAAAATGCATCTTTCCGAAAGTAACTGCTGTTTATAATTACATTCAAGTCATAGCTGATAGCTAGGGAGTGTTAGTTTAACAACGGAATCAGAAAAAATCGGAATTTATCTCATTAGCCTC